AAAAAAAAAAAAGAAAAAGAAAATGCTGTGAAGGCTATGTTGACCAGTTTGATGAAAGCATTTCAAATTGTATGTAAAACCAGCACATTGTACCCCATGATTGCATTAATGTACACAGCTATGATTTAATTAAAAAACAATTAAATTGTTTTCAAAAAAAAAGTCCTTAACATTATTCTACAGGGTCTACAATAATGGCTAGATAAATCATAAATACTTTTATTTTGTATGCTTTATTTAATTACTAAGCATTGTGTCCACAGAGGCTCAGCCTTTGAAATTCATTAAATATGTGGTAAAATTGTCTTCTACCAAAAACTAGTTTAAATTAGAGGGAAAATCTACAGGAAAACATTTATGATAACCATAAATAACCATAAATGTTAGGCAAGATCAAATAAGATACCAAGACAATTACTTTATTCTATCCTCTCTATATCTATCTTACAATTTATTTTGATCCTGTATTTCTTAACATTTGGCATCATCTTATACTTTGTGTCGATTTTTAAGTAAGACTATCTCTCTTATCATTTTCAGTTATCCAGAACAATATCTATAGTTTTGGAGAACATGGGATTGCAAAGTTTTTGATCGCATTGGCTACCATGGGTTTATTTTTCCTCCTCTTACTTTTGTGTCTGGAGACTACAAGCTGGAGCCTGAAAAATTTTGTCTTTCGTAACATTATTTATAATTTCTATAAGAAATACACAAAGTGCAAGGTGAGTGACTACTATAGTCTTTAGATATAACTCAAAAAAAGCTCAACGTTAGACCAGAATATATAAATTTACACCTAACTTGATAAAGAAAATGTCGTTCATTTATATCTAGACCCAGCTGGGACTCATCTGAATCACAAGTCTCTTATCTTAGTTTGAGTTTCAGGGTCATAAACTTTGGAATCCTCTAACTGCAAGAAAGTAATCCATTTAAGTACAGTGGATTAACTGTGATAGAAAGCACCATCTTTGGTATGTATTTGTTGTAATTATGGAATTGATTTCTCTAAAACTGTATAGGATTATTGGCCCTCATGGCCTCTCCTTTCCTGCAATGGGAGGGCAAAGAAAACTATATACTAGAATGAGAGTCTCATTTTCAGATTAGATGAGCTCTAAGAAAGTCCAACTCTCAAGGCAGGTCTGCTATTCCAAGATCACAACTCTTGTTGGAAAAAATTGGAACCCTGAAAGATGAGATGGAGATATTCAAGTTGATGGCCCAAATATCTAAAATCCCTAGATTGTCCTAAACCCTCTGTGTCTACAGAGTGCCTCATTCCTCTCTGTTAAGAAATTTAGCACTCCATCCTCAGATAGAGAAAATATAAAGGCCTCACTTACAAAATAGCATGTGCCTATTCACAACTGTTACTCTCAGTAATTAATAGACACAGTAAGGATCACATCAGTAAGGATGTAAACTGTAAAACACTGTCTGCCAACTATATCTAGTTGATATTCATAGAACATACACCTTAAAGTGACAGCACACATGAAACATTCACCAAAAGAGACCATTCACAATTTTAAGAGAACTGAAATAATATGCAGCATATTTTCTGGTGATGATGAAATCAAACTACAAACCAATAACAGAAACATAACAGGAAAATCTCTAAATACTGGCATATTAACACACTTTTCTATAACCTATTTGTCAAGGAAGAAGTTGCATAGGAAATGTGAAAATATTTTGAACTGGAATGAAAATGAAAACACAACATATCAAACTTTGTGTCATATATCTAAAGCAGTGTTTTGATGGGGAATTACAGCCCTAAATGTTTATATTAGAAATTAAGAGTTGATGGGGTCACCTATATGGTTTATCTTACAAGGGTACAAGTGAATCTTTCTAAAAGCAGAGTTTGAATGTCTTAACTTAATGGCTAAGAGAATGACATGAAGGTTATGTTAACCAGTTTGATGAGAGTATTTCAAAATGCATATGAAAACAGCACACTGTACCCCATGGTTGCATTAATGTACATAGTTATGCTATAAGAAATAAAAATAAAAAATAAACAGAAAAAAAAAGAAATTAAGAATTAGGGGGAGTTGGGGAGGGGTAAAACTAGGTTGACCAGATGTCCCACTTTTGGCAGGACAGTTCTGATTTTTTTTTATTTTTTTATTAAATAATAACT